AATTCACAACGATTCACGCATTTACTTAGGACTTGACTCGATTATCTGTCTCTATATCTCCCTGTCTGCTATTCTATATGCCGTCACTCCTCCTCTCCGCTTTATTTGCCCGGCTTATATACAAAAATAGAGGGCGTCTGGCAAACACTAGAGTTGCCAGGAACAGTCATGATCCTTCTAGAAACTCATGACGTGTTACCAGCGTCACGTCACTTCTGCTGTCGTAACATTATCATTAAAAAGTATTCGGCTGTATATAACTCCTCATTGCTTGATTTCAACTAAATGAAATTTCCTCAAATATCTACTTCGTAACCATAAAAAAACAACAACAAAGTGTTTACCTTCGATCAAAGTTTTACTAAAACAAAAAAAATTAAGTCAGTCTTTCATCATTCACATTCGCGCTCGTCCGTCAGCGTGTTCGTGCACGGGGTCATGTGCTCACATATAATTTATTCTAGACAGCAGTACGTCATAGTTAATAATATACAGGGGTGGTCGTTTTACCAAGAGGGACTTGATGAATTTATGCCTCTTATGGATTCTATGTAGCAGCTGGAATCTATTGTCAGATCAAATGCTGGTAAATCAATTAGTTATTGACTTTCGAAAGTTTGGATTTTTCTTACCTTTGGAGATGGACCTAGCTTTGATAGCAGGTTTCGTGGGCTTCTCAGCTGCAGGAAAATATAATACACATTAAAACAAACAAACTAGCCGGTAATAAAAATTTACTTCCTAATAAAATTGCTCAACATATTTCCATATAGGAATAACTCACTCAACGCTGTGATTGGAACAACAACAACAAAATAAAACTCCCTGAGCTTCTAATAAACTATATATGAAAATAACAGATTGAAGTTTTTAAGCCTAAAGTTTTAATAAATAGTAACAGAGAAAGAACTGATATTAATAACTGTATAATTGTTAATTATATTTATAAATTGCTATAAATATAGGGAAGCTTGTAATTAGACACTTTATCGTGTCCCAATTTCTGTCTTTAAATATACTCGAAAAACAACTGTTGTAAACAAAGCAACTGACGAGATTTGAACCGTAATGTGTCATGTGGTGTTTGATTTTAACACGTTGGCTGCCACATAATAAACTAAGTATAAATGAAATTAAACATTGAAAAGGTGCCGAGGAGCAGTCACAGTGTCCCAAACTCATATGTCACAAGATAAATTTGGCTTTAAAACATAATTGTCTGTGACCCACCAGTGTGTCGCGTTGTCCATAACTAAAAGTTGGTTGTGACCCATCGGTGGGGCACGTGGCAGTTAACGTGTTGAGGCTTCACGTCCTGTTGTGTTCTTTGTGAGTTTTACACACCAATTACGATTGATACACAAAATTACTGACCAATCGCTACACAATTTACTTACAAGTCGGTGCACAATTTTACTGATTAATCTTTACACAAATTACTGACCAATCGCTACACAATTTACTTACAAGTCGGTGCACAATTTACTGATTAATCTTTATACAAATTACTGACCAATCGCTACACAATTTACTGATTAATCTTTATACAAATTACTGACCAATCGCTACATAATTTACTGACCAATCGCTACACAATTTACTGATTAATCTTTATACAATTTACTGACCAAGCGTTACACAATTTACTGATCAACCGTTACAGAGTGTTCTTGATCAACTGATACACAGTGTTCTGATCAAGTACTACACAGTTTACTGATCCACCATTACACGGTGTTTTCTGATCAATCGCTACACCATTTACTGATCAACCGTTACATATTGTTCTTGATCTAGCGCTACACAGTGTTCTGATCAAGCACTACACAGTTTACTGATCCACCATTACACGATGTTTTCTGATCAATCGCTATAAGTTTACTCGCTAACTAGGAGCTACTCTATAAAAAATACAAAAAAATATATATATTGTTATTCTTTAACGTGTTTTCAAATGAGCAATTCTTGTTACAAATAAATTTAGAGATATAACTTTATGTGTTTCATATCGATGGGCTTATAGTTACATAAGCATTATCAGTAGGTAGATAGAAAAACATGTAACATTATAGCATTTTATAATAACACGTATTCTTTATCACCGTGGAAGAACCAAAGGTGTTTTATTTTTAATTTACCTGCATTTTGTTCTGGCGTACAGTGGCGATTCGTAACCTCTGTAGTATCGTCTGAGAAAGATACGGACTTTTCCTCTGATTCGAAAAAAAAAAGTTTCTTTATTTTCAACAACCAATAACCATGTATAATGTTGACTTTTGTGAATGAACTTTAAGAATGGAATAAGACACACGAATATTACAGATTTTCGTTAAACTTATTGTTAAGTAGCTATTTAGAAGACATGAAACTTAAAGTTAAACTTATTGATAAGTAGCTATTTAAAAGACATGAAACTTCAAGTTAAACTTATTGTTAAGTAGCTATTTAGAAGACATGAAACTTCATACAGATTTGTTAAGTAATAACATTTGTACAGTTCATATAACTACTGTTTTTTATAGTTTGTTCGACCAGATGTGTAAAACGTGTTGATGTTGTGCAAATTATTTCAATGAGCTACTAAGTCTAATGACATTTTGAATAACCTATCCACCCTTGTTGCACATAACCATGATAGAATCGATATTCACATCATTCAGTATTTTTCACGATACTATCGATTCAAACTGGTCTAACGAAAAGTTTGAATTATGTTAATCTAGATATATGAATTATCTAAGAAACTTGAACCTGAAGTTAGACGTTTAAACAATACTGAAAAACCATACCTCTGAAGGAGTGATGAGTCCAGTCAGTTTCGAACGCAGGAATTTCATCTGGAAACAATAAAGAATTATGATATTCTGTGTTACATTTACCAGTGTGTTTTTCACTGAGTGTGAGTAATTTTAAGGAAGTAATATGATAGGCTACCTGTAGCGTGGAAACTATAATACAACTACATGAAGCTTGTTAGCGTTATTTGTTTTGGTAGTATTCATGTTACTGAATGAAACTAGAAGCAACTTTGAAGTTACCATGATACATGTGCAGACAAAGATGTTAATAACATGAGTCATAGCTTGAAACCGGTTGCTCCACTTGTTTTTCAAAAGAAGAAATAACCTGAAACCACTGTTCTAGATGTGTTGTAAACAACTGTTCTACACAACTTTAACTTGCTGTTTTATGTTTATTACAAACACTAGACACAGTTTTAAGTTACTGTCCCACACGAGTTAAAAACAGTTCAACCTGTGTTACAAATAAAGGAAATAACCTAAAGCCATTGTGCTACGTGTGTTACAAACAACGGAAATAACCTAAAGCCATTATGACACGTGTGCTACAAAGAAAAGAAACAATCTAAAGCTACTATGATACATGTGTTACAAACAAAGGAAACAGCCTGAAGCCACTGTTCTACGTGTGTTACAAACAAAGGAAACAGCCTGAAGCCACTGTTCTACGTGTGTTACAAACAAAGGAAACAGTCTGAAGCCACTGTTCTACGTGTGTTACAAACAAAGGAAACAGCCTGAAGCCACTGTTCTACGTGTGTTACAAACAAAGGAAACAGGCTGAAGCCACTGTTCTACGTGTGTTACAAACAAAGGAAACAAACTAAAGCTAATGTTCTACGTGTGTTACAACATTGTTGGTCGACTTCTGACACCCCTTTGTTGTAGATCGTTTTAACACCATTTTATTGTAGATCGTTTTAACATCACTTTGTTGTAGATCGTTTTAACACCATTTTATTGTTGATCATTTTAACACCGCTTTATTGTTGATCGTTTTAACACCGCTTTATATTAGATCGTTTTAACATTACTTTATTGTAGATCGTTTTAACATTACTTTATTGTTGATAGTTTTAACATTACTTTATTGTAGATAGTTTTAACACCGCTTTATTGTAGATCGTTTTAACATTACTTTATTGTAGATAGTTTTAACACCGCTTTATTGTAGATCGTTTTAACATTACTTTATTGTAGATCGTTTTAACATTACTTTATTGTAGATCATTTTAACATAGCGGCTAAACAAGAAAGGCTCCGGATCCCGCCAATAATTCTCTAACCACTTAGTGCTTTTGGTCTTAGGGAGTGATCAAAAGTTGGTCACTTTTTCATCTCTTTCAATCCAACTGAGTCTTACACCGAATTTCATAATATACAAACAAAGGAAACAGCCTGAAGCCACTGTTCTACACGTGTTACAAACAAAGAAAACTACCTAGAGCCACTTTTTTATACATGTTACAAACAAAGAAAACTATCCAAAGCCACTTTTTTATACATGTTACAAACAAAGAAAACAGCCTGAAGCCACTGTTTTACACGTTTTACAAACAAAGAAAACTACCTAAAGCCACTTTTTTATACATGTTACAAACAAAGAAAACAGCCTGAAGCCACTGTTCTACACGTGTTACAAACAAAGAAAACTACCTGGAGCCACTTTTTTATACATGTTACAAACAAAGTAATACAGTCTGAAGCCACTGTTTTACATGTGTTACAAATACTAACTTGAACCTGATGTTCTACATGTATTAAAGATGCCTGACACAGCTTACAAAACCCTCTAGTCCAAGGGTTCTCATCCTTTTTTTTACTCACGCCCCACCGTAAACATTTTTGGCACTTGTGCCTCTCTCCCCCCTCAGATGCAAACTTGTACCTGATTGGTTCTCTACTTAAAAGCGTGGTTAAAAATTAAATAACATAATAAAAATAATGATAGAGAGCTAATTTGTAATATATTATATTTTTCAAAATTATTCATTTTGTAATACATCATATATTATTCAAACGTTCGCGCCCCCTAGAGGGAGCGAACCCCACCAGTTGAGAACCGATGCTCTAGTCTTACCGGAAAGTGTTCTTGTACTTATAAACCTCTAAGAACAACAAATATTATGCAAGAATTAACATTGAAGCTGCTAGAAAATCTTTGTTTCTTCGTTTTTTCTTCTAACAAAGAATATAGTAGATATAAAAATCGAAAAAAAAAAAAAAAACAAGTCTTAAACGGGGACAGACCGATATTTCGAAAAACTTTCTCCACTATTACTGGAGTTTGCTTTTTTTTTCTTCTTACTGTTAAATATTATTATTATTATAAGAATTTTAGCCTAATTTTTCAAAAGATTAGAAATTTTAATTTCGGGTAACAATAATTAGAAATATACTTCAAAATGTTATCGGCTTATTCCTCTATTACACTGCAAGTTGTAAGGAAATAAAAGAGGATTTCAGCTATATAGTAAATGGAACACAAGGTCTTGTAGGACTTTACAGTAAAATAAAACAAAACAAACTGTAATATGCTATTAAGCATAGATAGCCAAAGGGCGACTCGCGGGCCGGATCCGACCCAGGAAGATATTTTATATGGCTCCCGTTTTTTTTAATTTTTGTTTGTTTGTCATATTCTATTTTGGCCAAAGTGGAAAAACGAAAACAGAAAACGAAACCGTGGCCAAGCAAACCAGTATCTTGATGGTTCTGAGATCCTTCATCAAATGTTAACCTTGCTGTTTATTCAAAACCATACAATTAACCGAGGGTCTGTAAAAGTTACATATTCTTGGAAGCAAATATTCTCAATGTACTTTACCCCGTCATATAGTTTCGGCCTCAAGACTACAGTCTGAGTAAGAAACTGGCCCACGAACATAAAAAGTTGGCCGTCAATATTGTTTAGTTTCAGACCATAAAAGTTTTCATAAGACCAATTAATAGGAATAAAAGAAGATTTGTTTGCTTCTTATGGGTTTTTAACATATGTGTACCAATTTTAGTGATGAGCCCCTGCACATTAGTGGCTATCATTATCATGAAGCCAGAGCAAGCAACAATTTTTTCATTGTTTCTTTGTTTTGTAGTAAGCACAAAGCTACACAATATGCTATCTGTGTTGTGCCCACCACGGGTATCGAAACTCGGTTTCTAGCGTTTAAGATTCTTGTCTAACCGAATAAAAAGATATGACAGTCGTCGTTATAAGCCCACAAGTGCGGATCTTGATACATTTTTTCCTCATTTTTGATGGGGGGGGGGGTAAGGGATACGAACGTTGGACGGCTCAGTTAAGAAACTAAAAGAAGAACAAACAGTAGTTTTTTTAACACTTGACTCAAGGGTTGTAGACGTGTCCAGTGACTTATCATCTATTACAGTAATAACATTTGGGAGTGTTTTAGTCATAAATGAATTTTAGAAAGACATAAACGCGGTAAACTTGTTTTCCGAAATAACTTTATTAAGTTTTTACGGCCTTGACCGGAGGACAATAATCAACCAATGAGTTAGAAAGGTAAAATATTTATAACAAGAAAGCAAAAGCAAAAATTTGTGTTTGTTTGTAATTAAACACAAAGCTACACAATGGGCTATCTGTGCTCTGCCCACCACGGGTATCGAAACCCGGATTCTAGCGTTGTAAGTCCGCAGACATACCGCTGTGCAACTGGGGGGCAACAATTTATGAACGAATAAATCGTCAAGCCTTAAAATTGGATCATTATTATTTTTAATTCTTGACCTTTAATTTAGTAAGAGCTTGTTTGTTTTTGAATTTCGCGCAAAGCTACACGAGGGCTTTCTGCGCTAGCCGTCTCTAATTTAGCTGTGTAAGACTAGAGGGAATGCAGTTAGTCATCACCACCCACCGCCAACTCTAGGGCTACTCTTTTACCAACGAATAGTGGGATTGACCGTCACATTATAACGCCCCACGGCTGAAAGGGCGAACATGTTTCGTGTGAGAGGGATTCGAACCCGCGACCCTCATATTGCGAATCGAGTACCTTAACCACCTGGCCATGCCGGGCCTAGTAAGAGCTAATCTTATAGCCGCAAAACCGATAAAAGAGAAACAGCTGTAGTAAGGTTCATGTCCTGCGATTTAAAGAATTTCAACGCTAAAATTAGCGGTTCGATTTCTCGCGGTGTACAGAGCGCTAAAACAAGTAAACAAATAAAAAGTGTGGAAGATTGACAACCAATGAACAAATCAGGATAGAATAGGAAAGTCCTCAGCAAATTTAAACTTGGAAATTATTATTATACATCTTTCCAAATCGAATAAAAAACAGTTAATACAGAATATTTTCATCATTTGAAAATTATTATCTAAATTTAATTGTTCTTACTTTCTGAGTAATGCTACAGATGAAATTAGTAACATAAAAAATTGGCTGCTTGATATATCTAAAGTACAGAAAATATAAGACATGAGCTTCCAAAAAATACTTGATACTATACTAAACATAGAACTGGAGTGGGAGGAGTTGGGGAGGTCATTTTCCAAAAAAAAAAGAAAAGAAAAGTAGACCTATTCTTCTACACAAAGATTTTAAATGATTTACATGAAATTTAAGCGTTTATTTTCAAAAAGAATCAGAAGACAGCGGGCTTTTTAAATTTTCCAGACAATTGGAGTGATCGTTCGCCCCCACCCCCTGGCTACATCCCTGTCCACATATATTTCTCTCCTACTTCAGAATAATCGAACTATAGTGCACGTAAGGAAATATATTGTTACGACAGCGGAAGTCACGTGACGCTGGTATCACGTCATGAGATTTTCGAAGGATCGTGACTTTTCCTGGCAACGCTAGTCTTTTCCAGGCGCCCTCTATTTTAGTATATAAGCCCCTGCAAATAATTGCAGCTAGAGAGATATAGAGACAGATAATCGAGTCAAGCGAGCAGTAGGCACGGTAAGTAAGGTATGTAAATCGTTGTGAATTATAGC